AGTGCAGTGGCATGATCATAGCTCATTCACTGTAGCCTCCAACTCCTGGGCTCTAGCAGTCCCCCTGCCTCAGCCTCATTGGTAGGTGAGACGACAGGTATGTGCCACCACACTTTGCTAATTTTTCAACTTTTTGTAAAGAAGGGGTTTCATGTTGCCCAGGCTGGTCTCCAATTTCTGTCCTCAAGTGATCCTCCTGCCTTGGCCTTCCAAAGTGCTGGGATTACAGTGTTAGCCACCATGCCCGGCCACTTTGGTGACAATGATTGGAATCTTGTCATTCTCAAAGTTTCTCAGGCACTCATTTACCGATAGTTGTACTTATGATATGTAACTTTCGTGGCTGGCTGAGCCATAAGGATTAGTTACTAGTTTTTTAAGTTTAGGGAACACCTTGCCCTCATCCCTAGACTAGATGAATCTACAAATTCCCTGAAATTTGGACATTTCTGTCTTCTTTTTTTCCTCTGGGCAGGCTGAGTAGGTTGCTGTTTAGCGGGGCAAGGCCTGACCTTTGGGGTCTAAGCGGCTTCCTGCCCTTCCTGTGTTTCAGTGCTTTAGTTCTGGAGACCTCTTCGCTGCCCACAATTTCAGCGAGCAGTCGCGGATTGGGAGCAGTGAGCTCCAGGAGTTCTGCCCCACCATCCTCCAGCAGCTGGATTCCCGGGCCTGCACCTCGGAGAACCAGGAAAACGAGGAGAATGAGCAGACGGAGGAGGGGCGGCCGAGCGCTGTCGAAGGTGAGCCAGGCCGGGAAGGCAGGAGCCCATCTCCCAGCTCGCCCTGGGCTCACAAGGACTCCCGGGCTGAGCTGCTGCTCCTCCTCACTGAATGCCTCACTAGTGGTGACCAGGATGAGGCTGTCAGTGTCAGGAGGGGGAGCGATGATTGGATGGATAATTTTTGTGTTTGCAAGGATGGCCTAGCACGTTGTCAGACTCCTGGGCTGTAGCTGGCGAATGTTCAGAGCATTGGACTTTTTGAGCAGCCTGTGGATGCCGTTTTGGTCCACTTTTTGTTTTATGTTGAACCACAGGGGCCCAACCCTTTGGTTTTTTTAATCTTTTTTTTTTTTTGAGGTAGGATGTCGCTCTGTCTCCAAGGCTGGAGTCCAGTGGTGCAATCATAGCTCACTACAGCCTCGACCTTCTGGCCTAAAGCGACCCTCCTGCCTCAGCCTCCTGAGTAGCTGGGAGTACAGATGTGCACTGCCATGGCCAGCTAATTTTTAATTTTTTTGTGGAGACGGGGTCTCACTATGTTACCCAGGCTGGTCTCAAACTCCTGGGCTCGAATGATCCTCCTGCCTCGGCCTCCCAAAGTGCTCGGGTCACAGGCATGAGCCACCATACCTGGCCTACTTTGGTTTTATAGTTTTACCTTTAAGACCTCCCGGAGGCTGCTCTCGGCTCCTGAATCCTTCTTCCCCTCCCTATCCCGGTATCCCTGATCCAGCCACAGTGGGATTGCCATGAGCTGTGAATGTACACCCTGATAGCCCTAAGCCCATAGGGCCGATGTGCGCTGCCTGACTCTTGGCACCTGGAATATATTATCTGTGTTACTACAAGTCGCTGTTTTCTGCTGTCATCATTTACTTATATGGCTTTTTCTTGTTTTTTGTTTGTTTTGAGACGGACTTTCGTTCTTGTTGCCCAGGCTGGAATGCAGTGGTGCAATCTCAGCTCACTGCAACCTGCGCCTCCTGGGTTCAAGCGATTCTCCTGCCTCAGCCTCCTGAGTAGCTGAGATTTCAGGTATGTGCCACCATGCCCGGCTAATTTTTTGTATTTAGTAGAGACAGGGTTTCACCACGTTAGTCAGGCTGGTCTCGAACTCCTGACCTCAGGTGATCCACCTGCCTCAGCCTCCCAAAGTGCTGGGATCACAGGCATGTACCGCCATGCCTGGCCTACTTTGTATGGTTTTTAAGCTTCCATGCTGTTCGCATCTGTCTCTCCATGGAAAAGGTGTTACTTTTGGATAGCAATTTTGATAGTTGCCATAGGCTTCTCCGCAGCATCTGGCGAGAGATGGACTCAGCGAATGTCTACTGACGGGCTGGTGGATCTCGGTCTGCCCGCATCACACCTGAATTCAGAACAGGCCCGCCCTAGGCAGCAGGAATGTCCTCACCCTCAGTAATACAGGCCCTCGTCTGTTCTTGTTCCTCCACAGTGTGGGGCTTTGGTTTTCTCAGTGTCTCACTGATTAACCTGGCCTCTCTCCTGGGAGTCCTCGTCCTGCCCTGCACGGAGAAAGCGTTTTTCAGCCGTGTGCTCACTTACTTCATCGCCCTGTCCATTGGAACGCTGCTGTCTAATGCGCTATTCCAGCTCATCCCAGAGGTGCAGTAGAACAGAAACGTGCGCGTCCTCTTTCCCTGGGGCGGTGCAGCTGAGCCAATCAATTCCTCCCCTACCCTGGGCTCCAGGGCACCCAGTGACTGCCACTTGAGAAATGAACCTGTCCCTCGTATCAAAGCCACAAACAACTTCTAACTCTGGATCTCAGAGCCCACGTCTCACTCCTCTGGCCTCTGCAGGTGCTGTCAGATGCAAGGTTCTTCCAATTTTCCCTCCTCCTGGGGACTTGACTGTCTCCTCTCCCTTCCTAAGCCCCATACATAGGGCATCAAAGGAAAGCTGCGGCTCTCAGCTGCCATCCATGCCTTTGGTGCTAAGTACTCGCTCTGTTCTAAGGAGAAATCCTGGCAGGACTCAGGTCTGGGCGCTAAGAGCTTATCCATCTGGAATGAGATGGAAGGAAAAGAGGTTACCAACTGATACGTAGAATTGGCCTAAAAAGCGAGTGTTCTTTAATTTTGAGCAGGCCATCATTTCTAGCATAGAGAGCCAAACATAGAACAAAGACTAAGACCAAGCAAAATTAAAATGACAAGATACATGGAAGGGGCTCTCCGTCCTTCGTACCTTGCATCTTGACTTTTTCCTAAAAGGACTGACTTCCTGGTACTTTGACTTGACTGTTTTGAAATGTTAATTTTGTTGTTTAATTGTTATCACAGAGGAGCTGTAAAAATAAGACCCAAGTTGACAGTCTGCCCACTGTTTTAGCTCAGGCAGGGATGCTGCTGTCGGGGGTGAGGATACACAGACGCGTGGTTGACCCCATTAGGGAGTGGTGGACGCAGCCCTTCACAAAGATCCCATGTCAGCCACTTCCCAGGCTTTCCCAGTCAAAAGACTCATCCAGAAAAGACAGCAGATGGGATGCTATGCCTTGCCTGTTCTTCCTGGTTGAATGTGAACCATCTTAGTGCCATCTCAAAATTCTGCATGGATGTGACAACACTCTGCAGGGGAGGCCTCAACTTGGGCTATTTTTTCAGCTCCAGCAATGGAATACGTTAATTTTTTAAAGATTTGAAATGAAGTGCCTTGTGACCTACTGAAATGGAAATACTGTTAATTGTGTGTGCTCCGCCCCTGTGGCCTGCCAGGGAGTGTCTCATCCTGGTCTGGTTCTGTCTTACCCTCTTTTGGGCCTGGATGGAGTGTCACACTGGGAAATGTTCAAGGAAATATTTTTGTGACAAGGTGTTCCTGGAACTCTGTTCTCTATGTTGGAACCCCTCTCAGCGCACATGGAAATGAGCAAAGAAGTTGATAGGTTAAGACACTGAATTTTATGGGCTCTGGGCATTCATTAATCGTTCTCCATCCCTTCTGCACTGCACATCTGGCTTGGTTGTATCTCGCACAAAGCAAACCATGTGGTCATGGTGTCACCTGACCCTGCGCTATATGAAATGGACATGCAGAAGCAAACGCAGCAGCATAGTGATCAGCCTCTTTCCACATGCCTGTATGTCCTATAAAGAGAGCCCTTGAGTCCAAAGTCTGTCCTAGACAGCCTCTGTGATAGGCCTGGGCACACCTCGGGTGTGTGACAAGGCAGCACCCTGCCCTGCCAGTCACACCACTGGCAGGAATGATTTGGGGCCACCAGGCCACAGGGGCAGAAGTCACAGGATTCCAAGGCCACCTTGAATTCCTCTTTCTTCTGAACTGATTGAAGGAAATTTCATCAGATTTGAATCACTAACAAATTTTCTATTTCTCTCTCCCTCCCTACTTGTCTCTCTCTGATTTTTCTTTTTTGTTACTTTCATATCCACCAAACTTTTCCTTGTGACCTCCTTATCTGCTCCACCTTCTTCCCCCTAAATGGTGGTTGCTGTGCAATGGGGCGCGTGCCTTCTCTCCCTGCCCTGGGTGGGGCTGGCCCTCCCTCCGCATGGCAGTGTGGGGATATGGTCTCCTCTGTGTGACCGTCATCTCCCTCTGCTCCCTCCTGGGGGCCAGCGTGGTGCCCTTCATGAAGAAGACCTTTTACAAGAGGCTGCTGCTCTACTTCATAGCTCTGGCGATTGGAACCCTCTACTCCAACGCCCTCTTCCAGCTCATTCCGGAGGTATGGCAAGCCAGGGCCTTCACCCCGGAGCACGCCGGCGGGCACAGTGGGAGGACCTCCATTTGGATGGAAGGCCTAGAGAGGGCACCTGGAGGCCCTTTCCTTTTGGAAAGTGAAGCTAGAACTTAGGCGTGAGCTAGGAGAGGCAGCCTAGCATAGGCTGAAGAGCTGGGTTCAAATCTCAGCTCTGCTATCAGTAGGTTCTGTAACCCTAGACATGCCACTGACCTCACAGTGCCTCTGTTTCTTCAGATGTGAAATGGGGAGAGCAATAGAGCGGCCTCAGGACGATGCTGTGAGGGTGGAACGAGTGTTTTGGGCAGCACTGAGTGCCTGGTGCGGAAAGTGCAGTCTGGTGCGGGGTGAAAAGATGCAGTGTAGCGAGCTCACTCTGGCTCAGTTATGGTGCTCAGATTGAGGCGTTGTGTACAGAGAAGTTTAAAACACATCATCAGCCGGGCGCAGTGGCTCACGCCTATTTTCTCAGCACTTTGGGAGGCTGAGGCAGGTGGATCATTTGAGGTCAGGAGTTCAAGACCAGCCTGGCCAACATGGTGAAACCCCGTCTGTACTAAAAATACAAAAATTAGCCAGGCATGGTGGCGCACGCCTGTAATCCCAGCTATTCGGGAGGCACAAGAATCACTTGAACCCAGGAGATGGAGGTTGCAGTGACCCGAGATCACACCACTGCACTCCAGCCTGGGTGACAGAGTAAGACTCCGTCTCAAAACAAACAAACCCCTATATCATCAGAACCCATAGGTCTCAGTAAAAAGATTGTCCATAGAGAGTTTTGGGGCAAAGGCAATGCAAGTCAAACACTGTCTGATTTTATATACCTTGACAGTACCTTTGCCTAATAAGTTCATGAGAAAACTTGCCACAAAAGAAGGCACTGATGGTTCATCTAATTTGGTGTAATCCCCTCAGCAGACCCATTAATTACAATAAGCACAGGACGTCTCCCTGTGGGTGGTCTCGCAAGCCTGGACAGCACCTCAGTTGAAGCAGAGATGACTGCATGTGCCTCTTACAGCACTTGGTGTTTTGTAAAATGTCAGTTGGCTCCCTCCTAGTGGATCCTTAGATTAAATCCATGGCATCGATAAACAAGTAACGTTTCACCCCATTGGAATCTGACCTGCACCGGAGTGCGTATCCCTGAGCCGAGAACCCAGCTTTCGGGATTTCTGAAGCTCAGCTTGTGGTTCTGCATTCACCATCCTTTGTGGCTTTTTGCAGAGAGGTGTTAGTTGCCTGTTTTCACTTCACTTTTCCCCCAAGATGATTTGACTCCCCTGGAAAGTAAACATAAAGTGTTGTTTCCCTGGAGGGTAATGACTGGATTTGGCCTCTTTAAAACAGAAAGGCAACAAACAGCCCAGAGTTCCTTGAAGTTGGGATCAACTTTTATTTTGGACCAATTCATGAGAGGGCTGGAGTTTATTCAAGGCCCGTTTCCAATCAGAAAACAGAGGAACAACTCTGTAAATATATATACCTCCCATGTACCCACAAAAATTTTTAAAAATAAAATAGGAGCAAGTCGTTACATACTTTTTGTTTTTGTTTTTGAGACAGAGTCTCACTCTGTCACCCAGGCTGGAGTGCAGTGGTGCGATCTCGGCTCACTGTGATCTCTGCTTTCTGGGTTCAAGCCATTCTCCTGCCTCAGCCTCCCTAGTAGCTGGGATTATAAGTACACCACCAGGCCCAGGTAATTTTTGCACTTTTTTTTTTAGTAGAGATGGAGTTTCGCCATGTTGGCCAGGTTGACCTCAAAACTCCTGGCCTCAAGTGATCAACCCACCTCAGTCCTCTAAAGTGCACGAGCCACCGTGCCCGGCCAGGCCATTAAACATGTTCACAAGAACCCACCATAAATCAGGAGCGTAACCTAGGACAGAATTCTCTTGATTTCTCCTTCTGTCCTCTTCCCAGTGGATTCTCCCCTCCCTCTTTGATAAGTGACAATTTCAGAAAGGACTCAAAACAAAACCCAAAAATTGACGCTCGCAATAACACAGTCCGCTTTCTTGGTTCTGTGGTCACGGGGGAGTCTGCGGTCAGGAAGATGCTGCAGTTCTTATTATTTAACTGGGAAATGGGTTTCCCGTTTTAGAAAGTATAATTACGCCATCTCCTTTTGTGTTTACAGGCAGGTCAGCCAGGAACACTAGATAAGATGAAAATAAATACAAGTGTCTGCTCCTTCAGTATGAAATCTGCTGGCAGTGAATGCCTTCATAGCCAAGCACCAAGAGAAATCAAAAGTGGAAAACCATATTGGAGGTTTCTGTTTCTGGGATTAAAATTCTACAGATGATCAGTCGTTTGCATCAGCAAATAAGCTTGAGAAGAACCTGGCAGGTTTAGTGTTGTCACATCAGGGAAACACCAAGGACTAGATTTTTGCTGGAAAGAGGATGGGTAGATGGCAGAGTTACTCCAGTATGCCTCTCTCCTTTCCTAGAGTCAAGGAAGTAGTTAAGAGATAAGACCAGTAAAGAGGGGGACCAGTAAAGATGCCTTATTTTCTTTAAAACTAATTTTCTTTTCCTGGGTCCACAGGCTTTTGGTTTCAACCCTCTGGAAGATTATTATGTCTCCAAGTCTGCCGTGGTGTTTGGGGGCTTTTATCTTTTCTTTTTCACAGAGAAGATCTTGAAGATTCTTCTTAAGCAGAAAAATGAGGTGAGGCTCAACTGTTGCTGAAGAAAGCTCTTCTAGGGAAAGCACCCATCTCAAAAAATGTCGATGTATTGTGGTGGTGGTGGTGGTGACGGTCTTAGCCCAATATCACCAATTTCAGGAAACTCGAATTTCTTGAGGAGACAATCCCATTTTACCTCCTGAGGGCATTTGGCCAGAAGTGAGGCCAGACCAGAAACTAGATCTGGCCAGGGTGCCTTCTACTAAGCAGTAGTTTATCGCCTTTGTTTTGTTCTAGATGATTTTCTTAATATATTGGTAGCTTTACAGGATGGGGAGAAGAGCTTGATAACATGCATTCATTCTGTATGAAGTATGAGGCTGCAGAGAAACAGGACTATTATAGTACAGTTTCAAAAAGATATCTTTAGTGGCTGGCACGCAGTTATTCCCTAAATAGCTGCCGAATTGAGTGAGATTAGCCATTGCAAAGGAGGAGCTCTAAATATTTGAGCAGTGGCTGCCTTGCTGGAATAAGCGTGTATCCCAAGGGGGCAGCTTTGACATCTGTCTGACACCAGGTCCCTCGCACTCGGTGCGGCTTTATATATAGATATTAGAAACAGGGTCTCGCTTCGTTGCCCAGGCTGCTCTCAAACTCCTCGGCTCAAGCAGTCCTCCCACCTCGGCCTCCCACAGTGCTGGGATTACAGGTGTGAGCCACCGTGCCCAACCATGGCTTTATATAACAGCTTTTGCTACGTTTCTGGGCGCGTGACCTGCTTGTGTCCTCTCTGATGGTCGGGCTGAGGTCTTCCAGTGTGTGAAGCGCCTCCTCAGAGCATGTACTCAGTCAGGTTTGTGGTTTTGGTGAATGTCATGCTGATTCCTCCCTGTCACCCCTCCAGCATCATCACGGACACAGCCATTATGCCTCTGAGACACTTCCCTCCAAGAAGGACCAGGAAGAGGGGGTGATGGAGAAGCTGCAGAACGGGGACCTGGACCACATGATTCCTCAGCACTGCAACAGCGAGCTGGACGGCAAGGCGCCCGTGGTGGACGAG